TACCACAGGAGGCGAAATACTAACAAGGCAACAACTGGAAGGTTGAGATTTACAAAACTGATACTATTACTGCATTATTAAAGTCATTCTTAAGTGAAACGTTTTCTAAAAAAAGAAAAACTAAATATGTCATTTAGTGGAGAATTCAGTCAGGTGTTACTTAGTTACTGACAGTTATTTGTCATTCCAATATAATCAGTGTTAATGGCATTGCGGTGAAAAAAGTCAAATAACAGAGTGTAATGAGGTGGTCATGTTGACTTCAGGAGCTTTCCTTCTAGAAAAGGTCTGGCCTAAAATGATCCACTTAATCTCTTTGAGCCTATCTTTTCCCACCTATAAAACAGAATCAAAACTTTTTGTTCAAGGATTTTTAAGAGTAGAAGCAAAACATATTCTGAAAATCAATTTAAAGACATTTCCTCCAAAATCTTATGTGAGGTCTGAAGAGACAACTGCAGTGATTCCCAGTCATGCCTGAGGAGCTGCAGTCCTGCTGAGGAGAAGGTAGATGGAGCAGACAGACAGGAAACTGAAAGGTTGGAGCTTCTTGCTCATCTGGACACTGCAGGGGCTCCTCTTCCAGTCTGGCCCTCAAGGGGGCTCTTAGAGAAGCTGTTCAGCCACTGTAGGTAACAGTGAGTGGAAGATGGCACCCAGGGGCCCAGCGGCCTTATTTTCTGACTGGGCTCATGGCTATCCTGACTTATGTGCTCACTGCATGCGACCCCCACACACGTTCTGGCACACCCTAGAAAGCATGCAAAATTTTGACGGTGATATCTGGAAACTGCAGACATTTATTTTCTAATTTTAAATGCATCCTCCTCCCACTGCTGTGCTTTAGTAGTAATAATGAAGTGTAACAACAGCTCTCACAAAAGATCTAGACAGCATGAGGTGTCATACGCTGACCTGAGAACTGATGTTTTAAATGTCATCTTTCACCCGACTCCATTCTACGGCTTCCCTCCCCCCTCTCTCTTTCTCTTTCTGTCACTCTCTCTCTCAACTTGCAATGTTTTCAATTTTCTGTTTGATGTAGTTCTAATGAAAGAAAAATTGAAAGTTCAAATTCTTAGTCTGAGTTTTATTATTTAACTTTATATTATATAATGCCCATTTAAAACACAAATATAAGTAAGCATTTAAATGAGATGCAGGATCACCAGAATTACAGAACTTATATTTATATTTTTACATACATACACTCAAGTATGTAAATTCTTATCAGTGTCAGTGCTGTCTATGACAAACACAGCTGTTTTTATTTTACTTCTGGGCATATGTACGTTCTTCCAGCACTTTCTCTTGAGCTTACTGTAGTAAGCACCAAGGGAAAAAAAAAATTATCTTGTCTTTCCATTTCTCTGCCATCATTTTCAGTATAAGCCATTGGCTCAAATAGGGAAGTAAATAAAAAGAAAGGGTACAGTAGAGTTCTAAGGCTGATTATATTTCATACAATGCCACTGTCTTTTTTCTGCATGCAGAATAGTTTTGGTTCGGACTGAATGCTGAGCTCTGTGGGGCTGTCAGTGACGCACTCTGCTGAGACACTGCATGCTTACCTGTTCCTGCTCTGAGCCCTGCTGAACTCCCGTGTGTTGTGGGCTCAGCAAGGTTCTGTGCTCATGGACATCCAGGATGCTATGTGCAAATGGACAGCAAGACACGTGGACATGTCACAAGCCGCGCTTGTCTCCTTGACTCATGACATATACCCTTGTCCCAGACTTCAGGCACAAATACAAGATCACAGATAAAATTAGGAAAATTTCAAAACAGTCAGGATACATTTAAGTCATGCTCAGGGCTCTTCATAACAAGAGACGCAGAGTCCTAGGACTGCACACCCATGATGCTGGCCCTGCCTCCACAGCCTCGCTTCCTGCCACTCTGGACCCCATATAGTGTCTTGGCCTGACTGAGTTCTTCCTGCTGAGGGTGTGTGATTCTTCCTGTGGCCTGGATGTCTCTGCTTTCTCTTTCTATTATCTTCCCACCAGGCCAGAGCAATCCTAGGCCAAAGGAACTTTCTATCAAGGTGCACATGACAGACACCACTCTTCCTGTATGTATGTGCTTATTTTCTTCCCCCACTGGACAGCTTATAGGCCAGGTCTGGGTCTAGCATCAATCACTCTTGTTCCACTAGTGCCTATTATGTAGTTACTAGTAAATATCTATTATGTGAATGAAAGGATAATTTAGCAAGTGAATGTTGCTGCAACTGGAATGCAAGTTTCAGGTGCTAAAGTGGAATAAACAAAGGTACCATGAATTTTAGGTTTGATTCAAGGGTTGAGGAATCCTGTCCCAGTTTGAGTTGCTGAAAAATGAGTAAGGACAGCATTGTCCTTCTTTGCTTGACTGCCTTTTTTACTAGTTCCGAAGTACTCGAGAATATAGGCTTTTTATATTTTAAGAAGCTCCGGTCATTTATCTCTGTATTTCCAGGCCTAGTACAGAGCCTAATGCTAGATGGCTTTTGAAAAACAGTTGGATCTTTTAAACTGCCTTGAGCTAGAAGAAAATTTGTGACCCTGAAGTCATCCCCTGTGTCTCCTCTTCCTCCTCTTTCTCCTTTCCCTCCCTATCCTTTCTCCGTTTAAGGATTGATGAGTCTGAGAACTGCTTTGCTTGTGATTAGATGTTTGTAACAGAAAATTACCCTCATCTATCTTAGGTTTAACTTGGCTTTTTAAAGAGAAATGGTCTTATTACTGTCATAATCATGGCAGTGGTTGGACACTCCAGAGAATGCCCTAGAATGAATCTGGGTAGCTTGTGATATTCTCGGAATAAAATCACAAGGAAGGCGCTTCAGAAGCTGGTATGTTCAATCCCAGATAACTCAGAGCAGAAATTAAAATTCAGGATTAGATGAAATATTTGCCCTGGAGGCTACAGAACTAGCCTGGTCAGAATAGGCAGGACTGAAATGTCCAGTGCTCCTGAACAACACCGGCTAATGGGAACCAGTGTTCGTGTTAGAACCCACCCTACAACTTATCTGTCTTGGCCATTATTCTACAACTACATTAGAGAAATAGCCAGGAGGGGAGGTAGTGAAAATGGAACATTCATAATGAAACTGAAGATCGAAGAAATAATAATAAAACAAAAGCCTAAAGGTAAGAATGGTATTGATTGAACATCTTAGAAAACATTGCTAGTAGAGATCAGAGCACGCTACCTACATGTAATATGTAAGATTTCTCTCCTGAGCAAGATGTGAACTGGAATATTGAATGTTCCTAGAAGCATCCCCAAGCAGTCCCCTTTGAAGTTATGGAGCTTTCTAGAGATGATGTGGTGGAGTGGGAAGCCCATCCCTTTACAACTCAGCCACACCTGAGCTTAATATCAACTTTAGCTTTGTGATATGGTGTGAGGAATTGACCTCCCTGATCATGTTCCTCCACCTCTTCCTCCTCTTTCTTGTAGGATACATATACATATACATATACATGTACACATATCTTTGTGTAAGCACCTGTCTTGCAGGTTCATTTTGTAGGTCAAATGACACTACTGAGATGGAGGTACAAAGCCCCCTGCTTAAAGCATCCATGCAATCAAGTTAACCCTTTTTCTCATAGTATCAGTTTATATAAACAGTTGAACAAGACCTGGACCAGGGTGAGGCCAACAGTACTTGGGTGACTTGGGAACAAGGTCTCCGTTACCATCCTAGGTGCTCCCCTTGCCTCTCTCCAATCTAGCTAGTACAGCTGGGCAGTGTCAGCCCAAGGCTGAGCATCTCATTGTGATCCTTTTTCCCCAACACCATCTCACAGCCCACTTCACAGGTGACACAGTAGGGCTCAGAAAAGCAACCTCACTGGGCTTAAATTTATCAGTTAGTTAGACGCAAACCTGGAATGTGAATCTGGACTTTCAGATCAACCCACTGTTTATTCCCCAAGCAGCTCTTAGCCAGTCTCCATCTTGCCTGCGTCACATGAAGTTCTCACACACCCTCTGATCTGAGCGGTCTGCCTGGATATCTGGACATCACCGCTCCCACAAGTGTATAAAATGTTTCAATACAAAAATAAAACATATCTCAGATTCTCAGCACAAGTTGTTTGCTACAGGATTTGCTTGCAGTCAGGGTTCAAGAAATAAATATTCATCAATGCAAGAAGAAAGGGTTCACAAGGCCTTATTATTTTAATGCAGAGAAATGGTTATAATAACCTAGCTGAATCAGAGAAATGCATTAATTTCACAACATGTTTAGCTCTTTGAGAAGTTAACTTGCCAAACTCTGTGGGGAATCCTGAACTCACAGAGACACACTCCTGCTGTTTTGAGAAAGAAAATTGCCCCTCTGAGTGGCTGCCCTGTCACCACTAGGGAGGGGTGGCTGGGAAAAATAATTGTGGGATGGGGAGGAATTTAGCTGCAGCAGCATGGGCTGGTTAAAGCACAAGTGGAGAAAAGAGGAAAACATTACTGTTCTAATAACCTCTTGGAGATCTTGGTAAAATGCACATTCTAGTCCAGCAGGCCGGGGTGGGGTCTGGCATTGTGTATTTCTGACAAACTCCAGGGAATGCTTATGCTCCTACCTGCACCAGTTTCAAGGACTGGGAATGTTGTCACAGGACAAAGCATGGTGGAAAGCCTTGGTGTTTTGTTTTACTCCTTCCCTTTGCAGTCATTTTAACTCTAGGCAAGTTCCTTAATTCCAGACTAGGCAAAGGACAAGTGGGAAATCTGCTAGGAAAATCAGCCAGCTCCCCAGCATGGTGATTCACCTTTTCCCCCACCAGGATACATCTAATGGGTGATATCTCATTACTTTTAACTCTTTGGAAAATGACCATGTGGGTCTGGACCTCCAGAGACCAAGAATTCTGATTTGAAAATTCTGTTTATGGAAGAAATTGCTCAGAGTTTTTGGGTCTATAAATCTGGCCCAGTCACGGCAGTATTTTCAGTCTGGCAATTCCCAGGGCTCCTACTCACTGCCTTCCACCCTTCTGCAGGAGAAATCTGTGCTTTCAAGATCCACGGCCAGGAGCTGCCCTTTGAGGCTGTGGTGCTCAATAAGACATCGGGGGAGGGCCGGCTGCGTGCCAGAAGCCCCATCGACTGCGAGCTGCAGAAGGAGTATACATTCATCATCCAAGCCTATGACTGCGGCACCGGGCCCCAAGAGATGGCCTGGAAAAAGTCACACAAGTGAGTGACCCATCCCAGCTCCTTGGAGGCCCACCCTGGCCCACCACCACCATTCACTGCATCTAGGGACTACCCTTTGGATACCTTTACACCCCAGCCCTGACCCAAGTCTTCCCAGTTTGCCAGGTCCCTGAGGGAATCTGGACAGTGTGTGTTCTAGTCCAGGAACACTCTACACACTGTTTTTTGCTGGGAGATGCTTCCTAGGCCTCCTTCAGGACTGAGTTCATACTTCACTTCTTCCATGACTCCTCTCGTAAACCAGCCCCTGCCAGCAGACCCACTTGGGACTTTTCTCGTGTGCTTTGTTTTGCTATAATACTTCTCCTTGTGAGATGTCTCTGCCTTCTCCTTTATGGAGTCTGGCTCAAACTCTATCATAGAATGAGAGACGTTAAATTGTTACTGCATAGAGCAGTGAGTAAAAGGATGAAGCAATGGAAAAGAGGAGAAGTTAAAGACAAAAGCTATGGATAACATAGAGAGCAGGTAGGAGTCTCTACCCCGACTGGTTTGGGGCTTTTGCCATATACTTGTCCTTGGGGTAAGTCAATGCCCTGGGAGGTATGAAAGGGCAGTAGAATTCTACTTTTATTTTTTATATTTTTTTAATTTTTTTTCAAAGTTTTATTGATAAACAGATAGCAATGAGACAGTTTCAAATCAAATTGGAAGTACAGTTTCAACAAATAATACACTGCATATATGCATATATTCTTCTTAGTGGTTAATTGCTGTACAAGAAGTGGACTTGTGATCCTATTTACAAACACCATTAGAACAAATCATTCTATTCATTAAGAGAATCAACTATATATCT